ATAATTCTGTAATCACACAAATTGAGAAGCATCTCCTCTACAATTTACAACTTATAAGATTAAATTTTACAAAGTAGTCTTCTTGTAGCATCTTGAATCAGTATTGTAGAATTCAATGATTTCATTCTATTTAAAAATGCATATCTCGAGGGCGGGGCAAGATGGCAGATAAGAAAAACTGTCAGCCAGAGTATGTCTGCAAGAAAGACAGATTTTAGAAGAAAGTGAAAATAAACAAGCAGACAAACATAGATTGGATGAAGATCAGAAGGAAGGGTGCCTGGAACTACAGGAGACTCCAGGGGAAAAAGTTGCAGAGGAGAACTAGAAGGAGAAAGGCCCCTGAGAGGCTTGGAAACAGTAATAAAAAACCTTCCTAAAAAGAAAAGCCCTGAACCAGATGGTTTCACACCTGAATTTTACCAGACCTATAAAGAACTGGTGCCTGTCCTGCAGAAATTATTCCACAACATGGGGATGGAAGGAATACTCCCCAACACATTTTATGAAGTCAACATCACCCTGATACCAAAACCAGGAAAGGACGCAACAAAGAAAAGAAAACCACAGACCAGTATCCCTTATGAATATAGATGTAAAAATTTTCAACAAAATCCTAACAAACCAAATTCAGGTGCTTATCGAAAAAATAATCCATCACAACCAAGTGGGCTTCATCCCAGAGATGCAGGGATGGTTCAGCATACACAAAGCTATGAATGTAATTCACCACATAAATAGAATGAAAAACAAAGACCATATGATCCTCTCAATAGACACAGAAAAAGCATTAGACAAAATTCAACACCTTTTTATAATAAGAACGCTTAACAAAATAGGCATAGACGGGACTTACCTAAAAATGACATAAGCCACATATGACAAACCCACAGCCAACATCATACTGAATGGGGAAAAAGTAAAAGCATTCCCACTTAGAACTGGAACCAACAAGGTTGCCCTCTATCACTCTTCTATTCAACATAGTGCTTGAAGTCCTAGTCAGAGCAATCAGAAAAGAGAAGCAAATCAAGGGTATCCAAATGGGGGCAGAGAGGTGAACTATCTCTCTTTGCTGATGATATGATCTTATATCTAGAAAACCCCAAAGATTATGCCACAAGACTACTGGAATTGATAAACAAATCCAGCAAAGTCTCAGGTTACAAAATCAATGTACAGAAATCAGTAGCATTCCTATACGCCAAGAACAATCAAACTGAGAACCAAATCAAAGACTCAATACCCTTCACAATAGCAACAAAGAAAATAAAGTACCTAGAAATATATTTAACTAGGGAGGTAAAAGACCCCTACAGTGAAAACTACAAAACACTGAGGAAGGAAATAGCAGAGGATGTAAACAGTTAGAAAACCATACCATGCTCATGGGCCAGCAGAATCAACATTGTTAAAATGTCTATACTACCCAAAGTGATCTACAGATTCAATGCAATCCCTATTAAAATACCAACATCATTTTTCACAGATATAGAGACAATAATTGTACGCTTCATATGGGACCAGAGAAGACCCCATATAGCAAAAGCAACCCTAAGCAAAAAGAACAAATTGGGAGACATCAATTTACCAGACTTCAAGCTATATTACAAGGCTATAGTAACTAAAACAGCATGGTACTGGCACAAGAACAGAGACATACCATGTTTCCCCGAAAATAAGACCTACCTATAAAATAAGCCCTAGCAGGATTTCTAAACATTTGCGCAATATAAGCCCTACTCTGAAAATAAGACCTAGTGATGGGCGTGGCTACGCAGCATATCTGCACAACCCATGTATTTCGTCGCCAAGCGGTAAAGACGATGAGCAACCCTTTTCATCTGCCCCATCATGACAGCTACTATCCCAGAGGTGACCGGAAAGGTGTGGGCAGCCCCACCACCAGGGTCAGCTCCCCCCTGTCAGGTCCTGGCCATCCTGTGTGTGCTGCAAGCTGAGGCTTTGAGGGAAAAATAACACATCCACTGAAAATAAGCCCTAGGGGGTCTTCTTGAGGAAAAATAAATATAAGACCCTGTCTTATTTTCAGGAAAACATGGTAGACCAATGGAACAGAACTGAGAACCCAGATACAAAACCATCCTCGTATAGCCATCTAATCTTTGACAAAGCAGACAAAAACATACACTGGAGAAAAGAATCCTTATTCAATAAATGGTGGTGAGAAAACTTGATAGTTTTCCCATGTACAAGACTGATACAGGATTCTCACCTTTCACCTCTCACAAAAATTAACTCATGGTAGATAACAGACTTAAACCTAAGGTGTGAAACTATAAGAATTCTAGAAGAAAATGTTGGAAAAACTCTCATAGACAGTGGCCTAGGCAAAGAATTTATGAAGAATATCCCAAAGTCAATCACAGCAACAACAAAAATAAATAAATGGGACCTGATCAAATTAAAAAGCTTCTGCAAAGCCAAAGAAACTACCACGAGAGCAAACAGACAACCCACAGAGTCTATGGCCATACCACCCTGAATGCACCCGATCTCGTCTGATCTCGGAAGCTAAGCAGGGTCGGGCCTGGTTAGTACTTGGATGGGAGACAACCCACAGAATAGGAGAAAATATTTGCATGCTATACATCCAATAAAGGGCTGATAACTAGAATTTATATAGAACTCAAGAAAATCAGCAATAAATCAAAGAACCCTATCAAAAAGTGGGCAAATGACAACAACAGAAAATTCTGAAAAGAAGATAGAGTAGTGGCTAACAAACATAGGAAAAAATGCTCAACATTTCTAATCATCAGGGAAATGCAAATTAGATATCACTTATTCCCAGTGAGAATGGCCTTTATCAAAAAGTCCCAAAACAATAAATGTTGGCATGGATGTGGAGAGATAGGAACATTCATACACTGCTGGTGGGACTGCAAATTAATGCAACCTCTGATGAAAGCAATATGGAGATAACCTCAAAGAGATACAAGTAGAACTACCATTTGGTCCAGCAATTTCATTACTGGGCATCTATCCAAAAGAACAAAAGATATTCTATAAAAAGGATATCTGTACTAGACTATTTATAGCAACACAATTCACAATTGCAAAGATGTGGAAACAACCCAAGTGCCCATCAATACATGAGTTGATTAATAAAATATGGTATATATACCATGGAGTTCTACTCACCCACAAAAACAATGGTGATCTAGCATCTCTTGTATTATCCTGGATAGAGTTGGAACCCATTCTACTAAGTGAAGTATCCCAAGAGTGGAAAAATAAGCACCATATGTACTCTCCATCAAATTGGTTTTAACTGATCCACACCTAAGTGCACCTATAGGAATAACATTCATCGGACATTGGGCAGATGGGAGGGGGGGTGGAGGGGACGGGTATACATACATAATGAGTGTGATGCGCACCATCTGGGGGATGGACATGCTTGAAGCTCTAACTTGGGGGAAAGTGGGGCCAAGGGCAATATATGTAACTTAAACATTTGTACCTCCATAATATGCTGAAATAAAAAAAATGGGCAAAAAATAGGAACAGAAGTTTTTCAAAAGAAGATAGACCAATGGTCAACAAATAAAAAAAAAAAAGGTCAACATCACTAATCACCAGGAAAATGCAAATTAAAAACACAATGAGAGATCACCTTACCCCCGTCAGAATGGCACTCATTAAAAAGTAAAAAAAAAAAGCAATAAATGCTGGCTTGGAAGAAGAGAGACAGGAACACTTCCAAACTGTTTGCAGGACTGCAAATCAGTACAACCTCTATGGAAAACAGTATGGAGATTTCTCAAAGAACTAAATGTAGACCTATCATTCAATCCAGCAATCTCAGTACTGGGAATCTACCCAAAGGAAAGGAAGTCATTTTTTCAATAAGACACCTACACTTGAATGTTTATTGCAGCACAATTCACAATTGAAAAGATCTGGAATCAACCTAAGTGCCCATCAATTCCTGAGGGGATTAACATTTTTGGTATATGTATACCATGAAGTACTACTCAGCCATAAAAAAAAATGAATTAATGTCTTTTACAGCAATGTGGATGGAGCTGGAGACTGTTATTCTAAGTGAAATATCTCAAAAATGGAAAAAAACCCACCACATGTACTCTCTAATAAATTGGAACTAAATGATGGACACATATGTGTGCAGAGGGAAGTAAAAGTCATTGGAAATCAAGCAGGGGAAAGAGGAGATGAGGAAAGGGGCAAAAATCTACCTAATGGATACAATGAACACTATTCGGTTGATAAGCACACTGATAGCCCTGACTCAAGCATTACAGAAGCTATCCATATAAAAAAAATATTTAAACCCCCTTAATATTTTGAAATAGAAAAAATTGGCAATTTTTTGGAATCAAATTGAATTACAATATTATGTAGAAAATGGATAAGTACACCCACCACTCATGTTGTACTCAGTAAATCTATGGATACTTGCAGACAAAAAAGTACAATTATATTATAATAAGTATAAAGATAATGTTTTTCTTTGAATTCTTTGAATTTGATTTCCATCATTCCCAAGGTAGTACTCAAGTAATCTGATAATCCAAAGAATTATAGAATCAATTTAAAATTGTAAAACCTGAGCAATATGACTTAAAAATAGTTCAAGAATATGGGATAATTTCTAAATCATAACTTTTTTTTCTTTGCCTAATAATCTTGTTTTATGACAACTAGACTTAATAATCAAATGATTCTCTAAGGAGGAGAATCTTCACTCTGAAACATCATATTAGTTCTAATGATGATGGAAATAAAAATTTAAAGGGAGAAACAGATGTCACTTTCCTTCTAGAAATCTACAAAGTAAATTGCTATAGGGGAAATAGAGGAAACACATACAATGTACATATCCATGATATAATCTGCAGTGAAATAAGTGAAAGTGCATCACAGGTAAATAAACTAACCTGTAAAAACAGATTGATTTCTTTTAATTGTTCTACAATAGTCTGTCTGGCTTTTGCTTCAATCTCCTGTTTATACTGGGCAACTTGACCACAGTCTACCATATTCCTTTCCATGTAATTTCTGAGGTCTATTATTGCTTGGTTCAACTTCATTTTATTCTCCTGTAGTTTCTCACATTTTTTTTGCATTAGATAATGATTCCGGTTGAACAACTCTATTCTTTGTATATAGATGTCCACATTTTGAACATGGAAATTCCAGTGCTTGTTTTAGTTGATTAGTCTGAAAGAATAAAATAAGATAGTTTGGTAATGATGTAGGCTGACAACAGCCTCATGCTAAACTAATAACACGTTTTGAAATAAAGTTAATTGCAAGAAAATTTTATACTGTATTAGATATCTGAAATACAGACACTTGAATTGTTCAGGAAATCAAGACCAAAGTTAAAACCACCACAAATCACAAAAACATAATCTTTAGTCTCATCATGTTTGCCACACAACATATGCACCTGATCTTAGATTTTTCTATGCTTGATTCAATTCTTCCATCCTTGATATGGCTCATAATGAAAAGTTTCATGCCCTTTCTTCCATGGCTATTCCCCAGAATATCTAGAGAAGTCTTAGGGATATCTTATTGAGTTATTTAGGCCTGAGTCAATAAATGGCTCCCAGAATAAGACTTTCAAAATAAGACTCAGATTAATGGATCCTGGACATATGCATTCTAATGTCATAAGCCTTTTTCTGAATGGGAATGTCTTAGGATAATTTGAATTGCATTACCAGGAGTGATGATTCTTGGGGTTATGAAGCAATCATCTCTCAGTATAAATGTGACAAAATCCATTCATTTGAACAAAAATGTGTTAATTCAATAGCACTATATTATAATCTTTTGGTACTTTAGAGAAGTAAGGGAGCATACTAAACAACCACCACCACCAAAAATACTTTGTAGAATTTCAGTGGTACTGGGTTGGAACAAATGACTTTCCTTTAGCTGTAATGATTATTTGATTTCAGAAAGGTGAGTGAAGTGATAGTTTTAAAACATGTCTACAAACAGCTTGACATTTCTGCCATGAAATTCCCTCTCCTGAAAATGAACTGGCTTTAGTAACTGGTTTCTAGTCAATATAATATGGTAGAACTGCTGTGTGACTTGTAAGGTTAGGTTAGAACATGTAACATAGCTTCCACCTGGCAGCTCTCTCTAGGGAAGCTGTGTTCTATGGGACACAGCTACCATATTGTGAGGGAGTCCAAGCCGCATAGTGAATCCTCTTATAGGTGCACCAGCTGAGCACCCCAGCTAGAGTCCCAGCCATAAGACAGCTTCAATTGCCAGATGTGTGAACAAACATGGCTTTAGTTAATTCTAGTCCCCAGCTTCAAGTCACCCCAGCTGTTGCCAAGCGGAGAAGAAATGAGCTGGCCTCTCTGAGCCCTGCCTAAAACTGCAGATTGTGAACAAAAAATAATGTTTGGAGACACTGAATTTTGAGGTGGGTTGTTATATAGCAAAAGAGAACTGGTACAGATATGGATACTAAATAGGGCTAATGTTAAACAACAAAAACAACCTAAAACATGTAGGATACCTTGGGACCAGGAGGAAGGAGGATGTTTTAAGAACCTAGACAAGAATAAGAATGAAAACCAAAAGGTCTTCCAGGAGACTGTTAGTGGAAGCCTGAAGGCCCTGGTAGAGGATGACAGGGAGGGTGTCAAGGCCAGTGAAGAAATGATACTGAAACCTGGAAGAAAGGGCACTGCTGCTACACAGCAGCTAAGGTAAAATCGACATGAGAGATAAGCTAAAGAAAATTAAATAGCAAGGATGCAGGACTTTCTGGATTCAAGTATTAGTTTCCCATTTTCAGCCTGTTTCAATTTATGAAATGTAGATGGTCCCTGAGTTAGGATGGTTCAAACTATAATTTTTGTGACTTTACAATAGCGCAAAAATGATATACATTGGGTACACCCATCTGGAATGGCAGGTCTGGAGCTTCAAGGCTGTGTGTAAAGCCACAGTCAATGACACTTCTGGGTGTACTGAGTAGGGAAGTGGTGTGTTTTTGAAGTGGGAGGAATGTAAAAAGAATGCAGCCAGAGGGTAGATTGTCCTGGCTTAAAAACATTTCCATATCTTCTTTCATATTCATCCCGTAATAAAGATGGCAGCAAGATGGCTGATGGAGGCACCTATCACTTGCCTACTCCACAAAGCGGGACCACAAAACAAGTAGGTGAGATGCCTTGAAGGACTCCTCTAAGAGAGAACACTGGAATTCAGCAGAGAAGTGGCAGGGACCCTCGGAAGCAAGGAATGAAAAGGAAGGGAAGCAGCCAGGCTGACAGGATCAGCTCAGAGCCAGGACAGACTCCCCTATACCCAGCGATGCACAATCCCCCAAGGGCACCTGCTATCCTAGCTATGGGACAGCCCTCATCCCTTGCAGGCCCTTAATCTAATATAGGGAGCTGCCTGGAGCCCACATGACTGCACTGTGCCCAAGAGGCAATTCACTCTGAGTCGCACTCAGCCGAGACCCAAGCTGCTGCAGGATATTGCTCTGTAAAAGCCCAAGCCTCACCAGGCTGAGCCCCACCTACCCTGTGGCCCTGCGGCCCTTGCATGTGCACATCCCTGGAGGCCCACTGACAGCTCCTTACATTCTCCCAAAAGGTTATAGCATCATGCACCACCTGGACCAAGAGGTGTGGCTGGGTCCCCAAAACTCTAGCTCACATAGCACCCTCCATCTCTAGTAATAGGTTGTCTGGCCCATAAGATAATCTGCCCAGAGACAAAGGGAACCTAGGTGCATGCTACCCAGAGCTGAGGGGCCACTTCACTGTGGTCACTGCCTATGACAGCAACCCCAACCCCTCCATAGTAGGGCCACCATGTACCTGTGCACACCTTCAGGTGACATGAGGATTGGCCTGCTCATATGCACCACACCAAATCCTGTGAACAAGCCTATTTAACATGTGGCTAGTACCCGCATGCACCATATGAGAACCTGAAGACAAGGCCAGTCTGCCTGTTTTAGCTGCTGCTACCACCAGTGCCAACATGCACAAACCAGGTTCCTGATGATCAGCCTGCCCTTCCCAGGCCAGTGCACCATCGGGGGCCTGAGGAGTACTCAGTACTACTGCCCCCCACACAGTCTGCTGTCTGGAAGATAGGCCTGCCCAGTGGGGCAATACTGACAGCTCTTTCACCTGACCTTCGCTTGACCTGCCCACTGCCATCAGCGCACACACAAGTGTGCCACCCAGGGGCTCAGGGACTGGCCCACTATTGCTACTGCCACCCATGGTGCCACATGTGCCATCTAGGAGCCCAAGGACCAGCCAGCCTGCCACTGTCATCACAGCTGCTGGGCCACACTACCTGGAGGCCCAGGCACCAATGCACCCAGCAACTCCACTGACACCCCTGGCACCCACCCACACCTCTGGGATGTGTGCTAAGAATAGGATCAGTGCCAGTGTTATACTAAAGAACCCGGTACCAGGTCAAAAGAGGAGCTACTGTGAACTGAAAGATGACACATGAGCTTAATTTCCAATGAGAAAAGCTGATAGCTCATACCTAATCTTCTCTTTCTTAGAAAAATCTACAGATGATTATCTGAATTATAATGAGTTGATAAAACATAATGCAATAAATAGCAGACTCAGCACAGCCTGTGACCAAGACCTTATGGAAATGGGAGCAAAGAGGGAGGCTCTGGGTTAACAGATTAAAGGTTTGAATGGAGACAATTGAAAGAACGGATTCTGTCTTTGTAAGCCTGACTTCCACTCATGTTGTGGAGTCTGCAAAGCATAAGCTGGCCACAAGCTCCTTCAAAAATCAAAAAATGAAGTTAAAGACATTTGATACATTGACTTTTTACCTTTACATAAAACAACTGGCAATATGCAACAGATTGCAAAAGAGTTCTCATAAAATTTGACTGGGTACTGACATAACAAGAGACAGAGAAACAATCTGAATCGTTAATCCAAAATTAAACCCTATGTGCACATAGTAACTTGGAAATGAATCTTCATAGCTGCATTATTAAAAACAGCCCCAAAGTGGAAGCAACCTAAAGGTCCATGAACCGATGAGTGGGAAACTGGTATACCATACAACCAAATATTAATCAACTAAAATAGAAAGGAAGTATTTATATGTGCTATAACACACACGATCCCTGAAACATGAGGCTATGTGAAAGAAGCCAGTCATGAAGTATTACATATTCTATGACTCTATTTTCATGAAATGTCCACAACAAGCAAACTGACAGAGACAAAAATTAGAAGATGGTTGCCAAGGAAGCAGAAGGTGGAGGGACATGGGTGAGTGGCTAAGGGATATGGAATCTCTTTTCAGGGTGAAGAAAATATTCTAAAATGGACTGTGGTGATGGTTACACAGCTCTGTGAGTATACTGAGAGATAGCAGCGACTATTATCCTTTAAATGAGCGAACTGTATGGTATATGAATTATATCTCAATATTTCTTTATTTCTCTATTTTGCATGTGTATACTACATATAATCTTAGTATTTGTATGATTTTTAACAATATTTTTATTTTTATATATTTAGAGCATACACGTGTAGTTCTGTGATATCGATACACTATAGATGTGAAGTTTGTGCTTTTAATGTAATCATCACCTGAATGGTGTTTATTGTGCCCATTAAATAACATTTCACCCCTGACTCCCCTCTGTCTCTTTTAAGTCTACAAATGTCTATTATTACACTTTCTATGTTTATCTGTACACATGATATAGCTCCCACTTACAAGTGAGAACATGTGGTATTTTTCTCTTATTTCATTTAAGATGATAGCCTCCAGTTCTATCCATGTTGCTGGGAAAGACTTAATTTCATTCTTCTCTTCTTCTGTGCTTTTACAATCCATGTAAATGAAAGGAGGGTGAAGAAAATGCCTATGTTTTGAAACAGTTTGTAAATCAGCCTAAATATTTGCATTTTGGAGAACACTAAAGATGGCCTTTCTGTACAAGTTATCCTGAAATAGGCCAGGTGCAGTGGCTCAATGCTTGTAATCCTAGCACTCTGGGAGGCTGAGGCAGGAGGATTACTTGAGGTGAGGAATTTGAGACCAGCCTGAGCAAGAATGAGACCCCATCTCTACTGAAAATAGAAAAAATTAGCTGGGAGACTAAAAATAGAAACAAAAAATTAGCCGGGCATTGTGGCAAGCACCTGTAGTACCAGGTACACAGGAGGCTGAGGCAGGAGGACTCCTTGAGCCCAGGAGTTTGAGGTTGCTGTGAGCTATGCTGATGCTACGGCACTTTATCCAGAGTGACTGAGTGAGACTCTGTCTCAAAAAACAAACAAAACAAAACAAAACCAAGTTATCCTGAAAGCCACGAAAGACATATAGACTGATTCCATATCCATTCTCAAAACTGAAGATAGGAAATCAGAAAATATTTTGGAACATTCCATGAAACATTATCCTCTGGGTTAATCTGGCTTGCCTCATCATGGCAATAGAGAAATCACTAAAGATTACAGTTGAACAACAACAAAAAAGGCTCTCCATTTCTGTGAGGAATGATGTTTAATTCTCAACTTTCCTAAAGATGTTATAAGAAAAACATATGTAATTAGAAGAAAAAAATGGCAGAATGATAGAGTTTAGAAAATAAGTGCATTTTAAAGATATACAACTGTATAGAATTAATTATAATGAAAATACAAATGAAAGCTGTGCACCGAAATCACTCTCATTATCACTTTATGTTACTTAACCAGCAATAGAAGAACTGTTGACACATTACATTTCTTACATACTTGACTTCTGATTTGACGTAGTATCTTCATTGAACCCGGAGTCCCATCTTCTAAATTAATGTGACGTGGCGAAACCTCTGCAAAGGTCTCTGACCTTGGTTGTTTTTTCAAGGTTGTAGTCAGATCATGTAGATGTCTCACAAGTACCTGATAAGATATTTTTGTTTCTCATTTTATAAATCACGGTATTATTAAATCATGTTAAGAAAATCAAACTTTAACGTATACACTTTGAAAAATATCACCACATACATCGATTCACTTTCTTTTCCTCATGTGTACACATTCCTGTGTATGACTGAATTCAGTTGAGATCACAGAAGGTGTCAGCTTCCTGCCAAATTGGAATTCAGTTACTTAATCAACAGATTCAGCTCACTATTCACTTGTACCCTGAGGAATTTGCAATGTTTAACGATCTAATGAAGTCTCAGAAAGAAATGGGTATGTGGGAGGGACTGATGGGGATAGATTCTGTACTGTAAAATGCTTTCCCTCTTTTTTTATCAGAAGCTTAAATCAACCTTAGAGTTCCTCACATATTCAATCGCCTGCTCAAATCCTTCCCATCGATTCCTCTGTCAGAGTAAAAGTAAAATTCCAACAGCCTTCAAGGTACTAGGATACCTGGCTCCGCCCCACTCTTTGACTTCAGCTCCTACCTCTCTCCCCTACTCACTCCATTCCCACTACATGTGAATCCTGCCACACCTCATTAGTCTGAAAATGGGAATCCAATGCCAAACTCACAAATCACAGACAGCTACAATTATCTTTGTACTAGACAAAGCTATATCCAAATTGTAGTCATTGAGCCTTGAAATGACAATGATGAGCAAATTATTTGTAAAAATATACAAAGTAAATAAAAAATAACACTGAGAAGATTAAATCAATTATGGTTTTGTAAAATTCACCACATTTGTAGTACCATTATGGTTTTTTAAAAAATTTCAGAGTATTACAGGGGTACAAATGTCGTGGTTACATTAATTGCTTTTGTGCAATTTGAGTCAAAGTTATAAGTGTGCCCATCACTGAGATAAGTGTGCACTGTACCCTTCAGTTGTGAATTTACATGTCCCCTTCTCCCCCACCCACCTGATTGGTTTCTGCTGAGTGTTACTGCCATCTTATGATTTAATAAAACTAAACTGCCATTGAAGAATTGAGAGCTCATAAACAGTACATCATTTGAGGTTGAAATATTTTAAGATATAAGTCAAACGGACATGAATTAAAATAAAATTATGCCAACTAAAACATAAAAAGTTACTGAAGTCAAAGTATTACAAGATACAACAGTACATTTCAGTTCATCTCTGAAATCTGGACTTAAGTGTCAAGAGTAACCCACTTCACTGAATCTTAATTTCATAATACTCATTTTAGGTACAAACATTTCCATGCATCTGCTTCATCGTGGCATTAAAATGGAGCAACACAAAGACGTTAAAATTGCATTTTCCACAGTGTAAGTCTGCATTATTAATGTTAGTCTATATTGGCAATTTATAACTTAACCTCTTAGAATTTTGTAGGTGACATGACGTCTTTCCTCAAAGAACAGCATCTCTAAGCTCTAACATCTGTTTGCTGGAAACAAGGTATGTTTCTAGGCTGACAGAGCAAATACTTTTACCATCTAGATATTTTTATATCCAACTGGATTCAACATTTAGCCATAATGAAATATTATTTGAAATTTGCTTTCAGGAGGTTTGAAAAACATTTACCATTCTGGATACTTACTTTTCTTTCTGCAGACTCTTTTTCCAAATGACACATTCTTTCTTTTAAATGATCACATTCATTGACGAGCTCCTGAAGTTTTCCTTCTAGAAGCAGACTTTGCTTGCCACTCCCAGCTTGACTTTGTTTCATAATATCCTGACATTGGTCCTGGATATGAGTTCCTATCTCGTCTTTCTGGGCAGCTTTCTTGTGAACAGCATGTAGTTGCTGTCGAAGCAACATATTTTCTTTTTGTAGTTCACATAATCTCTGCTCTAGAGATACCTTCTTGCCAATGTATGGATTCACTTTGCCTTGGTCACCGTGATACGTTTGTTCGATTTCCTTCGTTTGGCACTGTGTTTGCCTTAGATCTCTTTGTACACCTTTTAAAAATGTCTTTTCTCGGAGAAGCTCCCTTGTGTGATGGAGTTCCATTTCCAGGCTATTGATCTTACTTTCTGTTTTAGAAAATTTTTTAGAAAGAATCTCATTGCTTTCTTTTAGATTTGACACGTAAAAATTCATTTTATCTTGTAAGTGAAACCACTCGTCTCTTGCTGTGTGGAAAGCAAGTTCTAGGTGTTCTCTCAATGTCTCACTTTCATCAAGATCACGTGTGGTGGCAGTCAGTCTAGAATGGTAAAATTCAATTTCTTCTTTCAGTCTTTCCTTGATTTGTGTTTCTCTCTCCAGTTTACACTTTAGCATTGCATTCTCGGCAGTGAGAACACGAAGCTGTTCACCATAGTGAGATCCAGTTTTAGTTAACGTTTCAGAATTCAGTATTATATTAATTTGAACGTCATCATCCTTTTCTTTTTTAATTACCATGTCCTTCAGATATTTCTTTTCATTTTCCTCATTCTGATTTTTAATTTTGTCTCTCTCCATTCTCAGCATGGCAATTTGTTCCTGCAACATGCGATTTTTATGGAGTAGATCTTTTTCTCTTTCTTGGCTGTGAGAAATCTATGGAAAACCAAGATAACTTTTAGCTACTTCTCAATACAAGGACCTATTATGATTTCCTCTGAAATTAAAGGATAACCTGTCGATTTATACAATGAAAGGGTTGCAATAAGTGGATATCCAACTGGAAAAGAAGTTAGATCAAACCCTCCAACCTTATAGAGCATAAATTCCCAAAGGATCAAAATGTATTTGAAGTCAATGAATCCATGAAAGTATCAAAGAAACTACTACAAAGAAACGACTACAGGACTTTTTAAGGATCTCAGAATTGGAAAAACCTTTTCCTGAATTACAACAAACCCGAAAGTATCGAATGAAAGATTCATAAATTTGACTACATTTAAAAATTGGGTTTGCACTCTAATATCTAACCTTATACTACCCCATGGTGAGAGCCTTAGGTCTGCATATCTTCAGACAGATAAAATTTCCCAAAGTACTTTATGTTCCTTTTTCCTGGGAATATTTTATAGATAGTCTACTTTTCTACATTTGCATAGTCAGTTATAAGAACTGACTGATTGATTGATAAAATGATATATCTTGGCACTGTACTAAGCACTTCTACATATATCAATGAACTCATTGAGTTATCACGGTTCTGAAAAGGGGAGATTAAAAATGTAAGCAAGCTGCAGGACTTCCCCTAGGTCTTCTGACTCTACTTCTAGGACTCTTCCACCAAGTCACAGTTACTTCTGTGGTATAAATACATAAATACAAAAGAAACTTTTTGTTTGAAAACACCAATGACAAATAAGAAAAATTTATATAGCTCTTCTTAGAAAATCATGAATTGCCAATTGCAATAACTTTTGTTTCTTCTTTGTAATGTCTGAAGCAGTAATAAATGTGAAATAGGGAAAAATACACTGAACTATTTTACTGGGAATGAAATACTTACTAACAATTACTAGGTATATACTAGAGCATATTATTGTAGTCAAAAGCTCTTTGTACTGAATTAAGGTACCATTTGGAGCAAACTATTACTCTTATCAAAAGTGAGGAGAATGACATCCCATCTACGGTCTCTGAACCAGATGTCCGTTTCCTCCTTATTGATCAATGAAGTAATAAACTACCTTCTCCATTAACGTATCAAGGGGATGAAATCACTTCCAAAAACTAGAGCATGCGTTGTTAAGAGCAAGGGCTCTGAGATTATGAAAATATTACCCATTCCTATGGAATATATTAAAAACCTCTCCTTTGGATGAGGCCATTGTGATTGTTCCTGCTTGATTGTTACAAAGGAATGGAGTCGAATTAAAAACAATATTTTATCCCATGGGCCCAAAATTCCACCACCACCACTAAGTGGTGGAACGTACACACACACAAGGCTTCAAAATCCTCTGTACTTTCTACAATCCATGCAGTTGGTTGTTTGAAATACATACACATACAAATACATAGACATATTTGAAAGTAACTAAAGAAAACACCTCAGAATTCATTTCTTTAGAGCCATTTCTATGTCCCTTTGTCTGCCATGGTGATGGGTCAGAACAATCTTGTAATAGTCTACCATTCTGCTCCATAAAGCTGCCTCTCAGTGTCATTTTGCTTTTGTACAACCTATGAACGTTTAGTGTTTGGTCTAATAGCTTGGGGGTAAAAAGTCTAAAGGTTAATTAAAAGCATAACTTTCAATAAAATTGTTGAAAGGAAGCAGCCTATTTAAACACAAGGACCTTTAGCCCTCAAAATTAATCTCACTTTCATTACATAAATGACAACTAAATTCATCAAAGAGCAACAGTTCATAAAGATAGGCAGATATAATGACTTCACAAAACATTAAACTAGTTTCAGTATAGTTCCAAAGCTATTTAGTCTTTATTTTAACATAAAAATACCTAAATTAACATTTATGGTAGTGATTAAAGTCAACTTACCTTGCCTTCCCCTTCATGCACAAAAGATATACTGAGCATCAATTAGATGCTAAGATTTATAACAAATCATTTTAGCTATTAATATAAATGTCATATAGTTCCTTCTTAAGAAGATATAACAGTTCGGTTTTGTTTTCAACCTAAATAATATGTATTCAATCAAAGGGATATTACAAGTGAAACTGATGAAATAAAGATTACAATATGAAATTTTAATCACAGATTAATTTACCTGAGACAAATAAGCTCTTAATGTCTGCAATTCCTCATTTTGCTTTTTCAGAGTCGGTTCAAGTTGTTGTTTCACTTCATCTTCTCTCCTATATTCCTCTTCTTTTCTTCTTAACTTTTTTCTCATTTGTTTATATAACATATCAATATTTCTTCTCTTTTCTTCTTCTTCTTTTAAGGTAAATCTGCAGTTAAATATGCTTATCTTAAAATTGGTCTTCTTATAAAATAAAAAAGTTCATTTTATTATCTGCCTCTTCATATGTTGGTTTATTATCCTAAAAAATTCCTATGTTCTTGAGTTTTTTCCTTGAGATCTCATGATTTTAATTTCTCTCTTCATTATTTTCTACATGACTTATACTTGAAAGATTGTGATAAAAGAACATTCTGTTAACTGTCAAGTTTCTGTTACTATTAATGGAAATTCTGGTAAATATTATAGAAAAGGAGAACAGAAATTATTCAGTAAAGGTACAAATTGAAAATTACCTTTTTTCCCACACAGTCACTAGTACTCCTCAATTAGGATAGATCATTTCAAGTTAACTAATTTTAAAAAGTTGCTGTTTATAAACAAGTTTGTACATTCACTAGAAATACATTTTTATTCTCATGAAATACTGCAGGTATTCCTAAAAATAATTGACTGTGTAGTGGAGCACCTTCAAATGTCTTTCAAACAACCTACATCTATAGATTACTATAATCCAAGACTGGGCTGACAAGTCTAATATCTGCTACCCCACATTTTTTTATGTTTCTTTGTTTGGTGATGCTTTCAACTTGTCTTGTTCATAATTATGTGTTTTTTGAACAATATTAAATCCCTTTGGGAAGAAGACAACATCTTTATTTATTTATTAATTATTTTTTTTTGAGACAGAGTCTCAATCTGTTGCCTGGGCTTGAGTGCCATGGCATCAGACTCGCTCACAGCAACTTCAAACTCCTTGGCTCAAATGATCCTCCTGCCTCAGCCTCCTGAGTAGCTGTGACTACAGGTATGCACCACCATGCCCGGCTAATTTTTTCTATATATTTTTAGTTGTCCAGCTAATTTCTTTGTATTTTTTTTTAGTAGAGATGGGGTCTCGCTCTTCCTCAGGCTGGTCTCGAACTGTCAAGCTCAAACAATCCACTTACCTCAGCCTCCCAGAGGGCTAGGATTATAGGCGTGAGCCACTGCACCTGGCCCTAATATTTAATTAAACAATATAGTATAAAATGTGTTTCAACATAGAACTTTAAACCAATTTTATCTGGTGTGAGAGGTGCTGAATAAACTAATCAATAATCACTTTCCATTTACTTTCTATTCCATGCATATTCAAATAAAACTGTATAGGTTTCAAAAATCATTCTGGGTAGAGAAAAATGATCATTTCATACTCTGTTGAATTGTAAATTAATGTAAACTTTCTAGAGTACAATTTAGAAACACTGACTAAGAACCGATTTGAAAAAGTTCCTATACTTTAACCAAAGAAGTCTATATTGAAGAATTTCTTCAAAGCAAGTAATTAGAAAACAGACAAAGGAGGGGATGGGTAAATTCACACATAACAGGTACAATGCACACTATCTATGGGATTGGCACCCTTATATTATAGCCTTGACCCAAATGGCACAAGAGCAATTTAGATAACCAAAACATTTGTACCCCTATAATATTCTGAAATAAAAAAATAAATTAAAAAAGTTTGTGTCAAAGATGTGCTTGATATCATTAATTAAAAACAAAAAATTTTAAAGCCCCCAAATATAATTTCTTCAATAATGGAGATTTGCCTATGGTGGACTGTTATATAGTCATTCAAAGTATGATTTAAAAGAATATGCACTTAATTATTACAAGTATTCACAGGGAAAGACATTATATTATTCTGAAGAATTTCACACTCTACAACACCATAAAGTTTTCTCCCATTTAACCATGGAAGGTAAATTGGCAATTACACAAAGCCTCCTACATGTCTTTAGTATAAAGCAAACAGTACAAATATTTATTTAATACTAGAATGTCGTACCTTGCACTACAGAGTTCATGTTCCCATATAACTTCTTGATGCTCTAAATGTGATTTTATTTCTTCTGTTTTTGATAGCTCCTTTTGTAGTATGCCAACCTTATTTCCCGTTTTTTCCAGTTTTAGTCTAAGTCGTTCACAGTAATTTTTATTAACTTCTATTATTCTTTCTCGTGAAAGAAATGCATGCCGTATTTTCATCAGGCTAACAGAATCTGAATTATGGAGAAAACAAGATGGAAATAAAATACGTGAGAACCTTTGGGATATAAAGCACTACAACACATTTTACCACTCACCCATTCATACACTGAACCAATATAAATTGAGTGTCTACAATGTGGAAGATATTGTACAACACTAAGCTCTACAGATAAAACAGACAAGACCTTGTTTAATGCTTAAAATGTAGTGAAGAACAAAGAAAATAAGTGACAACTATAATTCTGATAGATGCTATAAGAAAACAGAGTTCTATGATCACATAAGAGACTTTGATCTCTATTGGGCCCAGGGAATATTTCCCTGTGGAAGAGATGGCTATGCTGAAAAATGAAGGATGAGCAAAATGGGAGAAGAGCATTCTAGCCAGTACGCCATGTGCTGAAGCTCTGCTGCAATCTGCTTCCAGCCAAGATGGAGTAACAGGTGCTGATTTACCTTTTTACCTGAAACAACCAACAACAAAACTGACAAAATATGTTAAACAATGATTTTCAAGACAGTGGACTTCAGGCAATGAAGACCATGATTCCTGGAAGTCAGGAAACAAATGAAGTAAGCATGGGGCTGCCCCACCTCCCTACCCTGACAGAGTTTCTAGGCCATGACACAGGGAACAAAAACTGAAATAGAGTCCATCAGACTCCCTGAGGTGGTGTGATGTATCTTAGAGTCTGGTAAAACCAAGGCACACAGAGATCACAGGACAGAACACTGGAGAATACAGAACAGCACAGGGAAAGAACCCTGGAAATCTGTAGAGATTCCCTCTTGGGTACTTAGTAATAACCTTTGTTACTACTAAGGAGCAGCCTCCCAAGTGTGGTAGAAGAACCCTGAACAACATAAGGGGTGCAGTGTGCACCATCTGGAGGATGGACATGCTTGAAGCTCTGACTCAGGTGGGGCAAGGGCAATATACATAACCAAACATTTGTGGCCCCATAATATGCTGAAATAAAAAAGAAAAAAAGATCACAAAACTCTTGCTGTAGGAGTTGGATATTAGCCCAAATCATAAATGTAAGACCAGAAAGGATCAAGCTGTTTATTTAAGTAACTAAACTATATCCCCAACTAAAGCTGGAGAAGATACATAGCAGCATAAAGATATATATATATATATATTTTTATATATGACTAAAGTATATACCAAAAAGTTAATAGTTACTTTTTTTAGGTGATGGATAATAGATAACTTTTATTTTGTTTGTGTTTTTTTTTAAAATAATTTTTCCTTTTATTTCCTCATATTATGGGGGCACAAATATTGTTAGGGTTACATATATAGCCCCTGCCACCCCTCCCCCATCCCACCATGCCAGAGTTTCAAGCATGTCCAACCCCCAGGTGGTGCGCACCGCACCCATTATGTAAGTAGACACCCTTCTCCTCCTCCCCCCTCCCACCTGCCTACTTCCCCTGCCCACCTGCCCACCAAATGTTTTTAGACATTTTGGTTACATTATATATCTCTGTCTCTCCTTAAAAAGGGTTAGAGGTAATCCCTTCCCCTCCATAACGCTCACCACATCCCTAAGATGTAGGTCTCTCCCCCACCCCGAATCCCTGGTGAACACTACCACTATTTGAGCACCATAGTTTTAATCAGTCAGTACCAATTTGATGGTGAATAGATATGTAGCCTATTTTCCAGATCTTGTGTCGCCTAACTTAGTATAACTGGCTTAAGCTTAATCCAAGATAGCATAAATGGTGCTAGCTCACTGTTGTTTCTAAAAATTGAGTAATATTCCATTGTGAGCATATACCACATTTTAGTTATCCACTCCTGAATTGACAGGCACTTGGGTTGTTTCTCTTGACCATGCAATAGTGAATTGTGCTGCCATAAACATTCGGGTGTAGCTGTTTTTATAATAGAATTCCTATGTTCTTTTGGGTAGATGCCCAACAATGCTATTGCTGGGTCGAATGGTATTTCTATTTCTAGCTGTTTGAGGTATCTCCAAATTCTTTTCCACAGAGGTTGCGCTAATTTGCAGTCCCACCAGCAGTGTAAGAGTGTTCCTGCCTCTCCACATCCTTGCCAGCATTTGTTGTTTTTTGGATTTCTTGATACAGGCCATTCTCATTTTCTTGATACTACATTCTCAGGTAGTATCTCATTGTGGTTTTGATTTACATTTCTCTAATGATTAGAGATGTTGAGGATTTTTTTATATGTTTACAGGCCATTATTCTGTCTTCTTTGGAGAAGTTTCTATTCATTTCCATTGCCCATTTCTTGATGGGGTTGTTTGATTTTTTTTCTTGTTTATTCTTTTAAGTTCTAGATAGATTCTTGTTATTAGACCTTTATCAGAAGTGTAGAGAACCAATATTTTCTCCCACTCTGTGGGTTGTCTATTTGCTCTAATGATAGTTTCCTTGGTTGTGCAGAAACTTTTTAATTTGATCAGATCCCATTTGTTTATATTTGATGCGGCAGTCATAGCCTTGGGGGTCTTCCTCAAAAATTCTTTCCCTAGACCAATATCTGATAGGGTTTTCCCAACATCTTCTTCTAGGATTCTTAAGGTTTCATGCTTTAGGTTTAGTCTGTTATCCATCTTGAATGAATTTTTATGAGAGGTGAGAGGTTGGGATCCTGATTCGCTCTTCTGCATGTTGCTAGCCAGTTTTCCCAGCACCATTTATTGAAGAGAGAATCTTTTCCCCATTGTATATTTTTGTCTGCTTTATCAAAGATTAGGTTACTGTATACTGATGGTTTCACCTCTGGTATCTCAGATCTATTCCAGATATCGATGCTACTGTTCTTGTGCCAGTACCAGGATGATTTAATTGCTTTATAGTACAGCTTGAAGTCAGGAAGACTGATGCTTCTGAGTTTGTTCTTTTTACTTAAGATTGCTTTGGCTATACGTGGTTTTCTCTAATTCCATACAAATTGAAGAATTATTTTTTCTAGATCTGTAAAGAGTGCTGGTGGTATTTTGAAGGGGATTGCATTGACTCTGTAGATCACCGTAGGTAAAATTGACATTTTAACAATATTTATTCTATCCATCCATGAACAAGGTAGATTTTTCCATCTGTTTAAATCATCTGCAATTTCTTTTTTTAGTGTTTTATAGTTCTCCTTGTATAAATCTTTCATATCTGTCGTTAAGTATACTCCTAGATATTTAATTTTCTTTGGGGCCATAGTAAAGGGTATTGCGTGGTTTTTTTTTTTTTTGCATATTATGGGGGTACACATTTTAAGGTTTCAATAAATGCCCTTTCGCCCCCTCCCCCCACAAGTTGAGTTTCCAGCATGACCATCCCCCAGATGGTGCACATCTCACTCATTATGTATGTATATACCTGCCCCCCTCCCACCTGCTCAATACCCTATTACTGTAGTACCTATATGTCCACTTAGGTGCTGCTCAGTTAATACCAGTTTGCTGATGAGTATATGTGGTACTTGTTTTTCCATTCTTGGGATACTTCACTTAGTAGTATGGGTTCCAGCTCTAACCAGGAAAATATATAAGATGTGCTATATCACCGTTGTTTAATCTTAGAGCTGAATAGTACTCCATGGTATACATATACCATATTTTATTAATCCATTCTTGGATTGATGGGCACTTGGGCTGTTTCCACAGCCTTGCAATTATGATTGTGCTGCTATAAACATTCGATCGCGTGTCTTTTTTGTAGAGTGTCATTGGATCTTATGGGTAGATGCCCAGCAGTGGGAATGCTGGATCAAATGGTAGATCCACTTGGATCGCTTTAAGGTATCTCCATATTGCTTTCCACAGGGGTTGACCTAGTTTCGCAGTCCCACCAGCGTGTAGGAGTGTTCCTCTCTCTCCGCATCCACGCCAGCATTTATTGTTTGGAGATTTTTTGATAAAGGCCATTCTCACTGGAGTTAAGTGATATCTCATTGTAGTTTTGATTTGCATTTCCCTGATGATTAGAGATGTTGAGCATTTTTTCATATGTTTTTTGGCCATTCTTCTGTCTTCTTTAGAAAAGTTTCTGTTCAAGTCCTTTGCCCACTTTTTAATAGGGTTATTTGATTTTTTCTTGCTGATTTTCGTGAGTTCTAAGTATATTCTAGTTATCAGCCCCTCATGAGATGTGTAGGATGCAAAAATGTTCTCCCATTCTGTAGGTTGTCTGTTTACTTTCATGACTGTTTCTTTGGCTGTGAGAAACTTTGTAGTTTGATCATGTCCATTTATTTTAGTTTTTGTTGCTGCTGTGATTGCTTTGGGACTTCTTCATCACTCCTTTTCCCAGGCCGATGTCTAGGAGAGTGTTTCCAATTTTTTCCTCTAGAGTTACTAGTTTATACCTTAGGTTTAAGTCTGTTATCCAGGGTGAGTGTGATTTTTGTGAGAGGTGAAAGGTGTGGGTCCTGCTTTAGCTTCTACAGGTGGCTATCCAGTTTTCCAGCACCATTGTATGAAAGGGATTCTTTTCCCCAGCATAGTGTTTTGTCTGCTTTGTCAAGATTAGATGGCTATATGAGATGGTTTTATCAGGATTCTCAGATCTGTTCCACTAGTCAATTTCCTATTTTTGTGCAATACCAGATTGATTAGTTACTACAGCTTTGTAGTATGTGTTGATATTGATATCTGGCATATTATACTCCATTTTGTTTTTGTTGCCTAGAATAGCTTTTGATATTCGGAGTCTTCTTTGGTTCCATACAAAGCGTAAAATTATTTTTTTCTGTATCTGTGAGAATGCTGATGGATTTTAATAGGTATTGCTTGAATCTGTAGATCAGTTTGGGTAGTATAGACATTTAATGATGTGAGCTCTGCCGATCCGCAGCATGGTATGGATTTTCCATCTGTTTACATTCTCTGCATTTCCTTCTTCAGTGTTTCATAGTTTCTCTGTAGAGGTCTTTTACCTCCTTGTTAAGTATATTCCTAGGTACTTTATTTCTTTGTTCTATTGTGAAGGGAATTGAGTCTTTGATTTGGTTCTCATTAGATTGTTGTTGCATATATGA